CCCCAAAACCCCAAAACCCCAAAACCCCAAAACCCCAAAACCCCAAAACCCCTATCTATAATATTATAATCGAATTTTATATAAATTTATTAATTATAAATGCCAAGAGTTGTAGACACAAGTTACCATGAGATTCTCAGTAGACCAGACTACTATGATGATGCTCAGAAAGAAGAATATCTTCAAAAAAGAATTATGGATGAAATCCTGGAGGATAAGACTCCACCATTGCCAAACAGAGAGCAAGAGCTTGATTACCTCAAAGAATTAGAGGATGAATTCAGAAATGATAGATGGCTAAATTTGAGATTTAGGAAACTCCAGGCAGGTCCTCTCAGAAGACCATACAAGAATGCCAAGGAACTCAAGAAACTCCAATATCTAGACTATGTGACTCTGTTCATCGCAGGATCAATTATGTTCCTTCCTTTAGGAATTGTTGTTGGCAGAAGGATGAGATATACTCAGAGTGGAGTTCCTAAAGTCTACTTCGCTAAGCATCTGTATAGACTTCCATATAATGATCCTGATGGTATGGCTAAGAACTATTTCAGACTTGGGCTTTTCGCTACTACTTCGATTGCTGGGTTGTTCCTTGCAGGATATTTCTGCCCAGACCATTTCAAAGATGAGCATTTCTCAAGACCAGATTTGAAGCCATCCGCTCCAATGGTTGAAGACGATGAAGACACTAAAAGAGCTAAGAAACAATTGTAAGTTTGATTTTTTGTATCGAGTATCAACAATTATATAGGTTCGCACATGAATACTTTGTTCAAGATGAGGAATTCAATAGGAGAGGATTCCTATATAGAATTTTCAGGCCAAACTCAGCCGATTACAACATCAGATATGAAGACAGAATCAAATTCGATGCTCCTCACAACTCTTATGACCCAAAGACTGGAGGGTTCCCATCTGCAAAGAACTTGCATGAGCATTATTGGTAATTGAGCTAATAATCAGCCCCATTCAATATATTTAATATACTAAGGGGTTTTGGGGTTTTGGGGTTTTGGGGTTTTGGGGTTTTGGGGTTTTGGGG